CCAGTGCCTGGAACCCTTTGCCCACAGGCACATGCACTTCTCAAATGCTGTCTCCTGAGAGAAACCTTTCCTGACAGTCCCCTGCCACACTCTACCCTCACTTCACACTGATCCCCGGGTACTCTTCCTGGATTCAGTTTCTTCAAAGCACTAATCACTGTCTGTATGTATTCATATGGTTCCCTAATTTACATGTCATCTGTTCAAGGGTAGTTTTTCTGATTATCTTGATCAACTCATATTTACACTTCTTGCAACTTTTATTTACTACATCTTAAAAAATCCAGAAACCCTGCATCTTGGGCCTTTTCTACATATCAGCTAGACTAGGCAACCTCAAGCAGCATCAGAGGCAGCATCTATGTGCAACGTCATGTGGCACAGAGTAGGAATTTACATGGCAGCTAATTGAGATAATGAATGAATGAATAACAACACATGCATAGCATTAAGAAATAAAAAGGAAATGCCAGAAGAAACTACCTTGTTGGGAGAGCTGGAGGTGTTTGAGAACTTGATTTTTGTCTTTATTTTGTGCATGAAGTACTTAGAATATAAAATCAAAAATTTAAAAATGTAACAGTCATTCCAAAGAGGCAAAGGTGTCTAACATGAATCTTTAATTTTGGAAGCCACTGATCAGAAATTTTACTGACTTTAGATGTCATTTTACTCTACTTAAGAGTTACCATGAAAATTCTCAAGGATAATTCTTTCTTGTCTTTTTAAAAGAGTAATAGTGATGCCTACCTCTCCCTGCCATGAGTTCTTTCTTCCACTTGCTGCCCCACTTGATGTCCAGTTCCTGGCAGTACTCATCCCCATACCAGACTAGCAGTTCACAGCCTGGCCTAATGACTCGACAGGTTCTATAGATCTGCCTGTGGTACTGGAAGGCCACAAGGTTCTGCTCCTCATCATCCCCGGCACAGTTCACATACCTGGGGTCAAGGCAGCAAAGGGAAAGAAAAGAGGCAGTGAGTTCTCAGTATCTGTCAGATCCAGGTCTGGCCCACCACCTGCAGGTCTAGGCGTCCATGGTCTAGTGCTGACCGCTCCCCCACCACTCCTCTGGGAGCCTTCTGTTCTTTCCTAAATCTCTTTCACAAGGTCATATGAACTTATGATTCTGACTACAGTGCTCACGCTGCCTGGAGTGTGTCCCTGCCGTGCCTATTCAACCATTTTTTCAAAGCCCAACTCTGGACTTGCCTCCACCTCAATTGACCGTAAAACACATCAATACCTAGATTCTCTAAACTCTAAATTAATTCTGTTTTATGCCACAGAACTTGGTGCTTGATCATGTACTCTGCTTCTAGATTAGCGTACATCATTCTACATTCAGCCCTAGTCCATCTTGCTTTGAGAGGCCTTCCTCAGTCACCCTACAGTTCACCCAGTTGCCTTTCACCTGCCTTCCCCAGGTTTCCAGAGAAACTTAGAAGCTTCTTTCTCTTGGCCTGATAACAGAACAGTAACAGTTTATTCATTTTTCTATTCTCTGGTAAAACAAGAGCCCATTGTGGAAAGGGGCTGGGTCTTCTTGCAGCTCACGTGTCTTTAGGCTTCAGTTTTAATTTTACTCAGGCCAGGAAGATTTGCTGCCCTCACAGATTAAAGTTTCTTTATTTTGGGTTGTCTTGGTAATATGTGCTTCTAAAAAAATAAGAAAATTGTGGTTAAATGTTCCTATAACCAAATGTTTTATGTCAATCTGCAATACATCCTCCACATAGGACATGGGTTGTATGATCTGTTCAAGTATGAACTTCACTTCCTAACCTGGAACATACTAAGTGCTTAATAAATGTGGATTACATAAATTAAAGCATGAATGCAGTGTCCCTGTGAATCTAGGCTTCTCAAGGTTTATCTTGGTGCCTCAATTTTGTCTAGCATATAGATTTATGTTTTGATACCAATAAATCATAATATCTATATTTTTATCTTTTATTTCTAAATGTTGATGGTATAAAACAGCACTGTGTGGAGAAAATAGACACACAGAATGTGAAAATCATTGAGGGAGCCATGATGAGAAGGAAGGAAATCTGGGATTGTGAGAGAGGAAGGCTAGTTCTGAATCTCAGGCAGCTCCTGGCCTTACCTCATCCAGTTGGCCCAGGATTTATCCTTTCCATCGACATACTCATAGCAATTTCTCCCTTTGGTGATATGAGTTTCAGAAAAATAAGGTAAAGGCTTTTTAGAGAGTAAGAATCAGAAGAATTATTTTACTCCATTGTCATCAGTGGCCTTGGGGCCTGCATGGCTTCAACTGCCAGTTGAGACCACATGGTATGCACCTTAGTCATCATCTACGCATCTGAGTTGATCTGTCCAGTCAGAGCAGAAGCCCCACAAGGGAGGATGCACTTGTTGTCTTTGTACCACTCTGCTCCCACGTACACTCTGATCTCTAAATAGAAGTTCCATGTTCATGCAAAGACCCTTGAGTACACAGAGCTAACCACATTATCTTTGCATGTAACCTAATGTGAAGATGGTGCTGTCCCAGCAAAGGCACAGAAGGGATGTGGGAAGACAGAACAGGGGAAAGGCAGGTAATTCTTACCAGCCAGGAGTATCCGCTGTTGGCTGCCTCTTCGTCTTCTGTAACTCGGCCCTCATAGGGTCCAAAGTGCAGACCCAGTGGCAGATCAGAGGCCTCATTCCATACTCCAAGCCCAGCCTGAGGGATGCCTGATGGCCTGATTCTCAGCCCAGGGGGCAGGCTGAGGGCTGCATGGTTGGAATGCCCCTTGTCCTCTGCACTGTCCTTCACAAATGTCTGGGGCCCATGAGCAGCACAGCTGTCAGTGAAGAAGTTCTGACACATCTCACAATCTGGAAGTGAGGGCAGCAGGGATTAGGAAAGTTATAATCCAGGTTTCTTGATATAAGAGCTTCAGAAAGAGCTCAGCACTCACTTAGCCCCAATCCTGTACTCTAACTCATTAGAGTAAGGGAATGATTTGGGGGCCAAATGATGAAATTATTGTGAACTCACACAGGACATAACAGGCAACTGTGTGAGTGGCTGAGAGGGTCACTTACAGAGGTAGTCGTCATTCCTGGGGCTCGCTGACCTCTTTGTATGCATGACCCTTTCTTTCTCGCAGGCTATACATCTTTCCTTCAGTCTCCTTCCTCCTTAGTTCTAGGTTGGAGAAAAGGAAATGGGTAAAATTGGGAGTCTGGGGTGTTTGTCCCTGTTTCATAAGAAAATGTGAAATCTCCTGCCATCAAATTAGCATCTACCTTGCTACATATTCTAGTCTCCCCCTCTTTACAGCTTCAGAGGGATTGAGACCCCCACACCCGCACTGACTGCAGATGCCTATTCAATTTTAGTTCTGTCCTTTCCCATTATCTCATTAACTGCCCAACCTTTCTACTTGTAAAATGTTTCATGCATGCATTTATTCCTTCAGAAAATATTTCTTGAGGGCACATTACATCTTAGGCATTGAACAAAGTCTGTACATACAACACTAAGAAAATATAGGAGATCAGGCGGGGCGCGGTGGCTCACGCCTGTAATCGCAGCACTTTGGTAGGCCGAGGCGGGTGGATCACAAGGTCAAGAGCTCGAGACCCTCCTGGTCAACATGGTGAAACCCCATCTCTACTAAAAATACAAAAAT